GTCCTACCTCCCTGGGTGGGGGGTTGAGATGTTTGCCCTTGCCCCTGACGTGCTGCGGACGGCTCCGCGATGCATCAGGAGCGAGACGCGGTACCGCTCCCGCGATTTCAAGGCGAGGCTTCAGGATCTTGTGGCGGCCGTCGAGATTCCACCGGCGAAGCTGGACGCCGTCACAAATCAAATCGGCCTGGGTCATGCAAAAACCTCTCGTCTCTGGGCAAACACGGCTGGTCCGTGGCTCTGGGACGGTCGGTAGGGCTGTTTCGGCTCGAGAAAGAGCTGATCTAGCCCCAAGCAATAGCACATCCCACACATCTTGTCGACGAGGAGGGAATGCGCCTCCATGCAAGGGGTGGAGATGTGAAGAGCCATCCATGATGTCAACCTCCCATGAACCTAAACCTGCCTTGGCCACTGAATATGTTTGGCCCTCGAGTATGCCACGTCCAACTTGCAACATTGGCCGGACCCTAGACTGGGGTTTTCTAGTAGCAACAGGCGGTCCCGAACCCGAAACCTGTTGTTCTTTGTTTCCAACCGTAGAAATACGACAATCAATCAGAATGGCATCAGCGTCGAGGAGACGGGGGTTGAAGTGCCCTTTCCGAGGAGCCTCGACGTCGATGCGACGTTGGACCACCCCGCCTTTGTGGTCCCCTAACCCCGCTGTGCCACCCGCACTACCAAACGCCCTCAGCGGGGTGTCGTCCAGTCTGTCGTGCTATGACCGGGCGCTATTTCGACAACGGCCATTCCCTCGCCTTGACCTGCACCCCCGCCCCCGATAACGCCACACGGAAGCCAGCAGTATCATGTTTTCCATGTCTGATTCCATGACTACTTACACCTCGAAATGGGAACAGCTAACCGCCAGTGGCCCTAGGTCGGGAGGACGGTGGACCTGTTGCTGGAATTGCCCCCCGGTTGCTGAGCTGCCTGCAGCAACCAAATCACGTTCCAACTTGTCTTCGGGCAATTTTACCGCCGCACATGAGACATTGGTAGCCAGTGAGAGCACGCCGGGGGACAACACTGCCAGTGCCGCGAACATGCCCATTCTTCCTTCTCTGTTCCAGAACCTGCGAGGTCCGGGGCACGTGGGCTCGAAAAGCCTCGAATCTGGCCCGGCCTAGAACATGGAGCTCGTTGTTAGCACTGGATTAAGCAATGGTCCGCACTGACGACCCGATGCTTCGTGACTGCCACTGGGTCTCTCCTCAACTGGAAATGAACTGCAAGAGGCACCTGACTGGAATTGAGAGACCACCGAAAAAGAAAAATAATAACGAGCAGGGAAAGGGGGCCAAGAGGCTCTGTGTTGCTTAAACAAGTTATTTGGTGGTGTGCTGCACGAGCTTGTCAGGAGGTCTCTGGCTGTGAACAGATTCGTCGGCACACAGCTAGTGGGTGTGTAAGCCATTACCCGTCGACTAGACGGATACGAGGAGTTTTCTTCCCACATCCACAGCACTTGGTTGTACCTGAGCCGAGCTCAAATGTTTTCCCTAGGTCTCCGGGTGACGGAAATTCAACAGAATTGAGAGGATGCATTGCTGCTTCTGCCCGGAGAGTCGCACAATCAAGGGGGTCGGGGATGCTCGTCCCTGCGACTGCGGAGAGTTCTCGCCGGCTTTCCTGCCTTGGCCATCCGGCCTCCGCCGCAGGGTCCCCGGGGGGGGGGGGGGGGTCATCCAACTTCCAAGCTAAGCCGATGATCGAATCTCATCGATTGTCGGGGTTCGCAGGACGAGCAGCAAGGGGGGTTACGTTGCAGCGTGGGAGGCACGCACCTAGTGATGCACTGAAAATCCTTTGGGCAGGTCGCCAAGTGGGCTGAGCGCGCGTTGTGCCGCCTTGCTGTGGTAGTTCGTGTCATCAGAAGACGCACAGTTCTGGAACGGAAATTGGGAGTTGAACACTTTGGAAGCCGTGCTACCAGACCGGTGGGGATGCTGCTCGAGAAGCCGTGCTGCCGTTCAACAACCATTTGGTGAGACCTGACCTCGCGTCTCACGACGTACGACGGCCAGTCTGGGGTAATTGTGCAACCCGAGGGCGTAGCTGGCTGACCTAACTCGACTTCGTGAGGCTGACGCTCGCCCAGTGACCTTTGTGATCAGAAACAACGTTGCAGCTTACCACCTCTGGTCGCCATACCAGAACACTATCGCGAGCTTATGTCATTCCGCACTCCAAACGGTCAGATGACAGAGAGAGTTGCCGATCGAGACCCGGTGAAGGGGCTCGAGGGCGTACAACATGATCGGTCGCGGGCTCGTTATCTTCACTCGGAAAACCTCCGTCTCGGTCAAACCATCGGAAGCGGACTTCCGGGTACATCAGTGGGTGACAGCCAACAACAACGAGGTGCTCTCGGGTGGGCCGCTCATGTTCGCCCTGGCAAGTGGCGGCCGGCAGGAGGAGCGTCGCAGGCATGGACAGCGCCCGTGTCGTGTCTGTTGTCCCGTGATCCACTAGAGAGGTGCGGCCTCGCAGCATCGCGCAGAGCCCTGCAGTGATCTTTACAAGCCAAGTGAGCTTCCACCAGCCCTGAGCAGCGAGACAGTAACCATCGTCAGTGGTCTTGTTGTGCTCGACCGGAGGCCAACTACCGTTACCCCTCAGGCAAGCCCCACTACGGACTCTACACCGACAAGCCGGCGCGCGGGGGTTCATCAGAACCCAGGGCCCTTTTGTCGCTCACCACAAGCTGGAAACCGTGGTCATGGGAAGAGCTTGAGTTTTTCTCGGCCCCCTATCACCCGGTGCTCGTCATTGGGGGAGAAGGGCGGTTATGCCAATCAGAAGGGTGGAGGCTGTGGCCGCTTGCCTCGTTCCTGTTGTCTCTGTTGCACCAGCGTGAGAATGCTCAGAGCAACGATACCGATGTCATCTCGGTGCACCCAGGCTTCTTCTGACGTCTCTAGAGTTGGTCGCTCGATCCGCCTATTGCTGATGGTCGGGTTGTCGTTGCCAAGGGCTTAATCATGTCGGTGTGAAGGCCAACCGAGAGAGTGTGGGATGTCGTTGGTAATCCGACTTCGAGTAGGCCAACTGTGGAAGGTCAACTGTAAAAGGTTGTTGCTGGCCCCCCATTCATCGTGCCCCAAGCTTCCAAGCCACCCCACGAAACGGGGGTCACACCTGCATCACAGCCCAGCGTCGGTTTTCTTTGCTGATGACGTGAAAGCCTTTGCCGTCCTCGACTCTAGGGTCGTCCCCTTGCCCTCCTGGCCTTCTGGACTTAGCCATCTTTTCCGCGTCAACTCCGATACCCCTGCCAGTTGCTCCCGATTTGTTGGGTTTTTGAAGCCGTCACTCGGCGTCACTGCACAGGGCAACCGAGAGCTTGGGATCGAGTTGAGTCCATTTGATCATCGTCTTTCTCTGCTGAGCCCGGCTTGATGGGTGGTTGACCGAGGACAGCGACGATTTCGGAACCTTTCAGCTTCGGAACTACCCCCGCCTCTTCTCGATCGTACCCAAGGCCCAGGCCCGATGTCGTCCGCTTCCTTGTGTCTCCAACAAGTTGCAACAAGACAAGTCAAGCTCGATGCTCCACCCTGAGAGCTTACACTAGCTGGACTGGTGCTAGCAACCAAGGTACTCCAAAGTACTTACCTTAGTCGAGCACCAGCCCAGCATCCCACACTCGCTGACGACTCAGGGCTGCCACCTCTGCTCGCTCGGTGGCCCTGCTTCTTGTCTTGCTGGCTCTCCGCCTAATTTTTTTTTGTTTCTTGACTTTTTGGGCCAATATCCTGCCTGTCGAGTGTGCTGATTGGTTGAGCAGTGGTCGTCTGTCCACACACTACATCTGCCCTTGCTGCACCTCGTTCCGAAAGAGGGAAACGGTACGCTCAGATACTTGATGTTTGGGTCACGCTCTCGACTCCTGCCCACGGAAGTGAGGGCAACAGCATCGTTGTTAAAGACGAAGGGCCCCGTTGTCATCCACCATATCCACTTGCCCCAACATTTGGCTGCGTAGTTCCTCTTCGTGGTCGATTGCGACATTGGCCGTAGATTGTATTTTCTGGGTAGACGATTACGCTCGCTTTTGGATATAAACGTCCTCGTCTTCCTCTCCCTGCCGGACTCGTGGTCCCAGCTTCCCGTTGTCACGGACTGTTTCGCACAACCTCCCACATCGTCGCCACAGATCAACTCATCTGCACTTCTACCTGGCTGTTCTTCGGCACGCTAGCAGCTTGCTAGGTTCCCGGACATATCGTCAGGTTGCGACTTCGAAACAGGTCAACGCCCCAAGGTCGCAGTATTCGACCCTGACGTCCCAAAGCCAGCACTTGCTATCACCAGGGGCAAAAATTCTGCTTAAACCTCAACGCCGACGCAACCCATCTCGCCAACGCAACTCTCGGCGTAACCCTCCGTACCCCGGTCGATCTGTAAGCCAATAACAAACAACAGCCGGATCTGCATCCGCGTAAATGTCCTTCGTCCCCTGCATGTCGGCCAGATACTCTGCGAGGCCCCTTCTGAGCCATGGCTTGAGGGGCCAACTCGCGGCGCCAACCGCCCGCGCCGGTCGGAGCTTCTCGGCAACGGCCACTCGGCGGAGCGGCTTCCAAGCCAACGCCAGCGGTTCGGCCAACGCCGTGCAAACTGGTTGGAGCGGAAGGTCAGTTTTGGCAGTTGCTTTGGCCACAGGTACAGTCGGATGGGGTCTTGCCAGCTCGATCAAGGGCGACTCCGCCAGCGCTGGCTTTCTTCCACTAGGCGGCGGTTTGCTTTCCCCGGAGAGCCAATCTCGTCCGATAAATTATGCCACCATGGCCGAGATGGAGCAGGTTGGTTGTTTTCTGTGTTTATGGTGCGCTGCGGGTGTTGACGTCTTGTTCAGGCCTTGAAGGAAATTCGACAGGAGCTGGGTGGCGAGGACATCATCTCCACAGATCCGGAAGACCTGCACGCTCACGGATACTCCGAATGGTCGTCAACCAACCCTGACGGTCTACCGGTTGCCGTAGCGTATCCTCATTCGACAGAGCAAGTGGCGACGATTGCGCGAGTGTGCTTCAAGTACAACGTTCCCATCATCCCTTACTCGGGAGGCTCTAGCTTAGAAGGAAACTTTTCGGCCCCTTACGGAGGAATCAGCGTCGACTTTGCCTTCATGGACAAGGTCCTTTCATTCAACAAGGATGACATGGATATCGTCGTACAGCCCAGCATTGGATGGCAGGACCTGAACGAGAAGCTCGCCAAAATGGAGAGTGGTCTCTTCTTTCCCATTGACCCAGGTAAGAAAGGATCATCGCCGTGCCCTGGTACCGAGATCTCGATGATTGACCTATAGGAAAGGCCCGAGTGCCAAGATTGGCGGAATGATCGGTACCAACTGCTCGGGTACTAATGCGGTCAGATACGGAACTATGAAAGACTGGGTAATCAACCTTACTGTTGTGTTGGCTGATGGCACTGTGGTCAAGACGCGTCGACGGCCGAGGAAGTCTTCCGCGGGTTACAACCTTAATAGTTTGTTCGTTGGATCCGAAGGAACGCTGGGGCTTGTGACTGAAGGTACGTTGCGCGGTGCCGTTGAGCGGCATGTAACTTTCCGACTCGAGCCCGTTAATGAGGTACTGACACTAGCATAGCGACCCTCAAGCTCACGGTTGTGCCTGAAGACTTCTCGGTTGCAGTGGTGACGTTCCCTAGCATCAGGGATGCTGCGGCTGCCGCGGCTGAAGTGATGCGCAACGGCATCCCCGTCGCGGCCATGGAAATCATGGACGAAGTCCAGATGAAGGTCGTCAACATGGGCGGTGCTACGGCTCCCCGCGTTTGGCAGGAACTTCCAACTCTGTTCTTCAAGTTCTCCGGCACCAAGGCCGGTGTTAAGGAGAACATTGGCCTCGTCCAGAAGATTACCAAGAACCACAAGGGTGGAAACTTCGAGTTCGCCAAGGACACACTGGAGCAGAAGCTGCTGTGGTCTGCTCGTAAAGAGTCGTTGTGGTCGATGTTGGCACTGCGAAAGGACGGAGAAGAAGTTTGTGAGTCTCCCTCGTCAGGCCCAAACTTTACGAGTCATGGTGGACTAACAACGCGTAGGGAGTACCGATGTTGCGGTTCCCTTCAGTCGTTTGGCAGACCTAATCGAGATCAGCAAGAAAGAGATGGACGACATGGGCCTTTTTGCGAGCATTTTGGGCCATATCGGTGACGGCAACTTCCACGAGAGTATCATCTACAACCGGACGATTCCCGAAGAGAGGGAGAAGGTTGAGAAGTGCGTCCACAACATGGTGAAGAGGGCGATCGACATGGAGGGAACGTGTACTGGCGAGCATTCAATCGGCTGGGGTAAGAAGGAGTCGCTTCTTCTCGAGGTCGGCCCCGACACGCTCGACGTGATGAAGTCAATCAAACGGGCGTTGGATCCGAAGTGGATCATGAACCCTGGCAAGATCATGGATATTCCCCCAGGATCAAGGACGAACTTGAGCCTCTAGACGAGACAACTTCGTTGCGTTGTCTACCGTTCGACCCTGCTGACGTGCTGCGACCAGAGGATTGTTAGCGTCGTTCATGGTAGTTGGATTTATGATTCACATCAAGGAGCATCAAGGAGCCTGACTCAAGTATTCGACCTCTGGGCGTAGAGATCATGGAAAGTAAACCATCTGTTTGCAAAAAGGGATGAGTACGAAATACATATTTGCATGCCTTTCCAGGCCGGTGCATCTAGTAGCGGCAGAAGCATGGGGAAACGGGTAACAAAAGCCTGGCGGCCATCTGCTTTACTTTAAGTCTCGATTTTTCATGGCAAACAACTGGTATCTCTCACATAGTTTAAGATCAAATGTGTGAACTGCGATTGAGCACGGTATTGTTCAGACAGTGCCCGGCAATGCTGCGTCTACAGTGAAGCGATGTTTCACTGCACATCGACTGGATTCCAGGACACTTGCATACAGATTAACAATTTGATGATGCTTCCTTGGAAGATGCAGGTTGTTTCCGGACCTCGAGAATCGGCATCAGGTGGCGGTAATATTATAGACTTTTTGGAGGCGGTGAACGATAGCAAGTGAATTGTCAGGTAGCAACGGCTAGCCGCATTGGCATGGAAGAGAATGCTTTCCAAAGCAGGCAACAACAACCATCTGTTCTTTCCTGTAATGGGAGAAGAAGCGGAAAAATTAAAGTGTCGCGCTTCCTACCTTCCAAAACCAGACTCAATCTTCAGAGGTAGGTACTTTGAGGGAGATGGCGTCTTCTCCTTGGACTCCTCTAGCTTTTTCCGCCTCCACTCATTCCACGTCTTGGCCTGGTTTACCTCTTCCAAGCAACCTTACTTACCACAATTCTTCACCGCTTGGACTGATCAGGACAGTGAGAGAAGATTAGATGAGATGACAGCAGTTGGAAGCGGCAACGTAGCTTCTGAGCAAGATCTTGAACGTAAATCGACACTCTCCGGGGTATGTACGCCACATCTGTCAGAGCCGATCCTCTACCAATACCTGCTGCTCAGCTCCCTTCACTTCTCCTTCCTTTCGACAAACTTGTTCACCAACACTAGTCTCGTCACAACCTCCTCATACTCTCAAGTCAAAAGATGAGGCTCGGTTGGAGGCAAGACTGATCGAATTGCCGGCCAAATCATATTTGCTTCACCATCTACAACTTCGAAAACAGGACCCGTCCTGTGGACTTTTCTCTTTCTCATGCACACGATCAAATCTTCACCTACTTTACAAAACTTCCCTCGTCCAAATAATCGATCGATACCCTTTCACTAGGTACCTACTTACCTATCTTCCATCACCGTCTACTCTCGCCTTCCTCCACCCCCATTTCTTCCATATCCCATACTTCGACCTCTCCTCTTAAAATTTGTTCTATCCATCGATACTTCCTCCTCACCACTTCATCTCACTTATTCAAAAAGCTCAGGTAACTCTCTCTCCAACTTCGTCATCTGCACAGCACTTGACCTCTCGAATTCTGGACGGCAAGCACGAATACTCACATCATGAATGCCACTGAGGTCGAGCCGTGGAGAACATGGCCGGACTTCGCTATAAAGATTTACTGCCTTCCCTCTTCCGTAACCCTGGCTGAACTCTACGACTCTTTCACGCGGCATGGCAACATATCCACGCTCGAGATCGATGAGGATCGGAATGGTAACCGAACTGGATTCGCCCTGGTCCGCTTTGAGCCCCCACCCAAGCTCGACTTCTGGTCCTCGAAGGTTTATACCATCAAATATGGCGAAGGCAAGAGCGCCCAAGTCACTCTAAGAACGTTCAAGGCTCCTCATGAGACGTACGACAGTCTGGTCAAGAGCCCCGCCAATCCCGACATCTGGTTCAAGTCCAAGATGTCCCTGCTGGCTGATCGCATGGATTTTGGCTCTCAACTTCAGAAAAACGAGATGGTGGTGCTCAAATCTGTCACGGACAATGTGAGGATCGACGTCAACCTCAGAAAAAAGAATATCACCATCAATTTCGACACGTTTACTCGCGACCAAGCAGCGACACAGGCGGCTGGAGATCAGGGCGACGAAAAATGCGACAACAATGACATCAGTCATCATAAATGCACTGTAGATTTTGCTCGCCTCACGGAAATCTTCCGAGTCAACGAAGGGAACGACACGGAATTGGTAATGCCGTTAGAGCTTCCCCCGATGTTCTGGACCAAGGCGAGCAGGAGAAAACGCAACGAGATGGCGGCGGGAAGGTCTTCTTGGGGCAGCCTGGACCTGTGGGAGCGACGAACTGTCATACTCGATGATGAACAATTGCCCCGAGATTTCCCTGTGACTCTGCAGGCCGACTTTGACGACCCGAATTTCATCAACATCGGCCGTTGGACCACTTTCAGATTCATCATTCGGGATGCCGGAACCGCTATCGACAAGGTACTAGAGGCACTCCAGGCCTACAACGTTGCAGCCACAGTCTTGGACCACTTTGGATCTGTGCCTCGGCGCTCTCCTCTGCTAGGTACGCTTTGCCGAACTCCAGCATCGAGATCCTACAACTTGTCGACCAACCACTCGCTGCTATCCCTAAGGCCAGCCTCGGATAATCTGAAATTCGAGGTCTACTATCAGCTAGAAGTCTGCATCTCTCGCGGTATTCTCTCGGAGTATTCCATCACTCAGACTTTCGTCGATGAGTTATGTCGCATGGACAATGACCGCGCAAAATGGATGCTCGAATACTTTGCAGATCAAGGAAGCAGAGTATGGGATCCCATGGAAATGTTCCAGAACGAAGAGGCCCGTTTCTTCTTTCCTAATGCCAGTATGCCATACTATTGCACGACTATCCGTAAGGTCGTCATCACACCGTCGACTATAATTTTGTGCTCGCCAAACGTCGAATCTTCGAATAGGGTCCTTCGAAAATATAACTCGTATCAAGATCGCTTCCTCAGAGTCCAGTTTACGGACGAGCTCTACAGGGGCAGAGTGTACAGTGATGCCGGCAACGAGATCTTCAACAGAATCTACCGCACCCTGAAGCAAGGCATCAAGATCGGCAACCGCGTCTACGAGTTCTTGGCCTTTGGAAATTCACAGATTCGAGAATGTGCAGTATACTTCTTCTGCCCTACTGGCTACATTACTTGCGACGATATTCGGAAATGGATGGGCGAGTTCAGTCACATCAGGAACGTCGCCAAATATGCCGCACGCATCGGTCAATGCTTCTCGACGACAAGAGAGATACGAGGAGTCACTGTCCCTCGTATTGTACAAGAAGAAGACATTCAACGAGGCGGATATTGCTTCAGCGATGGCGTAGGCAAGATTTCGAAACTACTGGCGGAGATGGTCGTCAACGAGATGGGCCACGAATCAGTCGGCATACCGTCTGCTTTCCAATTCCGTATGGGTGGTTGCAAAGGCATGCTAGCTGTCTGGCCTGAAGCCAAGGGCCTCGAAGTGCACATTAGACCTTCCCAGGAAAAGTTCAGGGCGCAATTCAACGGGCTGGAAATCATCAAGTTTGCGCAATACTCAGTCGCCACACTGAATCGACAGACAATAACCATTCTCACCACTCTTGGCGTAAAAGGAGAACATATATTGCAGCTCGCCAAACAACAAGTTCGGAATTATGAGAAAGCTATGAATGACCGAGTGGCGGCTGCAGGCTTACTAGGAAAATACATTGACGAGAACATGACGTCTTTGACAATCAAGGATCTCGTCTGCTGGGGTTTCATGGATACGGAAGTGCAAGAGCCATTTGTTCTCACGATTTTAAATCTCTGGCGAATCTGGTCCATGAAGCTGTTGAAAGAGAAGGCTCGAGTGGTGATAGAACAGAGCGCTTTTCTTCTCGGATGCCTCGATGAAACTGGAACTTTGCGAGGCCACTCCAAAGAAACGGAAGGGAAGACGACACGGAACATTCAAGACCTTCCCCAGATCTTCCTACAAATCCCGCACCCTGACGATGGCAAGTTTTACTGCGTCACCGGAGTATGCATTATTGGACGCAACCCGTCACTTCACCCGGGAGATATTCGTGTCGTAGAAGCGGTTGATGTTCCCGCTCTTCATCACCTCAAGAATGTTGTGGTGTTCCCTAGCGTCGGTGACCGAGATGTGCCCAGCATGCTTTCAGGAGGTGACCTCGACGGTGACGACTTCTTCGTTATCTGGAACCCGGATCTCATACCCCATGAGTGGCACCAGCCCCCAATGAACTACGTAGCACCAAAGGCCCCAGTGTTGAAGCGTGGGTTCGTTAGAGTATCAGATCTGAGAACGTTCTTCGTTCGGTACATTCAGAATGACTGCCTGGCCTTGGTTGCAATTGCGCATCTAGCCCAGGCCGATCAATCTCAAGCGGGAGCAAAAGATCACAGATGTGAGTACTGATCTTACGGCTAACGAAGAAGATACTAACATAAGCTAACAGGCCTGAAGTTAGCGGAGCTTCACTCCAAGGCCGTTGACTATGTCAAGACTGCGGACCCAGCCAACTTGCATCCGGATCTTCAGCCCAAGAAATGGCCTCATTTTATGAACCGTAGAAACACCTACTGGTCCTCAAGCACCCTTGGCCAGATCTATGACATGATCCAAGAACAGGTACTCAACCCTCTTTACGAGAAAAAGTTTGACGGCAGGATTTTGAATCGCTTCACTCTCACGGACGATTTTCTCGAAAAAGCGCGCAAGGTCAAGAACCAGTATGACACCTCCTTGCGTCGCCTCATGAGCCATCGCGACATCCAAACCGAGTTCGAAGCCTGGACCGGGTTTGTACTGTCAAAACCACGTGTTGGGAGCGACTACAAGCAGCAAGAAGACATCGGTCAGGAATCGGCGGCACTCAAGCACAGGTTTCGGGAGATTTGCTACAAAGAGGCAGGCAGCAGAAACTATGACGACTTTGCCCCGTTCGTGGCTGCAATGTACAAAGTCACCGAGGAACAGGTCAATGCAGCGCTCGCGGCGGAGTGCGAAGACGAGGAACACAAGCGACAATCGATGCCCCTGATCAGCTTCCCATGGATCTTCCACTGGACCATGGGCCGCATCGCCACCGGACACGTCAAGATCAAACCCACCGTCGACCCTGAGGCTCAGCCGGTGACGAAAAAGGCCTACCCCATTCGTCGCGTCGAAGGGGACACGGGGCAGCAGGAGACTCAGCTGGGAGGCGGAAGAGTGGTCCACCGGGGCGAACTGTTGGAGGTGTTCGAGAGCCCCACGAAGGAGGACGACAGTGAGGTCTCACAGCCATCCGAGCGCGGCGATGCTACTGGTGGACAGGAGATACATGTTGAGGAGGATAGTGCCATGGATGCCATGGACCGGCTGATGAGCGGCGCCATGGGCTAGTGAGGCGTACACAATGGCAGCTTTTTCTGCTGCGACAGGGGCGTTTGACAGGTCATTCCCGCGGGTCCCAGTCATTAATCATGGAAACTCAGGAAAGCGACGGGGGCGATAACGGAGGAGGCTTTTTCCGTTGGGCCATTGATGCCCGCATACCGTCAGGCAGCTTCCTTACGAGACATGCGAGATACCAATCCGCACAATAGACTTGCTTCGTGACGCAGCCATGGCCCGTTTCCTATGCCACTGTGACCTCAGGAGCGCCGTCTGGTGTCGTCAGAAGCTCCCCTCCGAACTTCAACTGATGAAGTGTTCACCGTTGTGCCGCGTTGCCGCGGGAAGGATCTTAGAGGGACAGCCTTTGCTTTGCTTGCTTGCTTGCTTTGCCGGTGCCTGCTCGGGGAACCGACGGGAGGCAGCCGGGGGGGAACACGTTCGAGGCTTTCCGACGTTGAGGAGGAAGACAGAACGGACAGAACAGATTAGTAGGCGGCGGCGGCAGCAGCAGCAGCAGCGGAAAAGGGGTGCATGCCGGGGTCCTGTCCACTACCACGCCTCACGCATCAACCAAAAAGGAACGCTCACGACCAGCAGGGCGGCAGGATTGGAGGGGGGAGGAGGCTGTCTGGCACGGCTTTTTCCCGGATCGTCCATGCCACCACATCACTCGAGCGACGTCTACTTGGCACACACGCGATGGGAAAGGCTCACTGGCCCTGCTACTCTGATGATTTGAATTGCAATGGGGGAGTTGGACCTGAAACTCGTGGCCCCCCCCTTCCCCCCCTTCTTCTAGAATTCATAAACCAGATCCTTCTCTTCCCTTCGGTTCCTGTCCAGATCGTCGATCAAACGGACAAGCTGTCCGGGTGCGGCATGCATACAGCGAGGTCACTTGACCCACGAGGCAACGTGGTGCGAGTCCGGTCCGCGCATTCCGCCTCTCCATACGATCCAACAGGGAATCTGACGAAATAAGAGGGGAGCCCGAGAACGGTGCTCTAGTCGAACGGGCCCAGGCCACGGGGCGGTCGCTGTACCGGAGCCGCGGATGGGAAATCGGGAATCGACGTGTTCTCATCGTTCTCCACGTCCAAGCGGGCAGAAGGCGGCACAGGCCACGGGGAAGACCATCCGTGTTGCGTGATGCCTGGCGCAGATCGCCAGAAAAAAACCCTTCACTTCCTGACGCATAGATCCGTTCTCAGCACCCACTTCTCGCCTGCGGTGACCTCGCGCCCCTCGTGCTGTTGATAAGTGGAACATGTGTCAGTCTGCAGGACCTGTACTGCGGCCAGGAGGGTAAAAATAACAGGGCAAGGTGGGAGTGATGTAGGGGGTCTGGCGTATGCTGCTCAGCAGGCAGAGTGGGTTGAACATGCCGGTGGTTGGGGAGGGGAGGTTGATTGGGGGGTTTGGGGAGGGGAGGGGGCCGCAGCTGTGGTGGCCGTCGGTTGGGTCGTGTTTTGCGCCACCAAAAGCAAAGAAAAGGTACAGGAGAAGTAATGCCGGCGGAGAGACCGTGGTGGCAACGGTCGCGGTCGCTCAGAAACATGTTCAGGTGCGTCTTGCCCTGAGCATTCCGGGGATCAGGGGAGGATGCATAGGTTTCTTGGGATTATGTACATGGAGATAATTTTCTCAAGACGAGACTTACCAGCATGCAATCGTCGCCGTGCTTGTGAAGAAGAAGCATGCCAGTTTCGAGGGCGACTGGGATCTCTTCCTTGGCAGAACGGCGGTCGTTGGGGAAAAAGACGGTCTCGCCGCCGACACAGCCCTCAGCGGAGGAAGTAAGATAGAGCAGTAGCGTCCATGTTGTCTTGCACGTGACGGGTCCGGTCGAGGGGTCGGGTGTGAGCGTGACGTTGTTGGAGTCGTCGTCTGTGTGGGGGTCCCAAAGTCAGCCGGGCCGATCGTGAAGTTGAAGAGGAAGCCTGCACGGAAGACAAGTGAAGGATGCAGAAGAAAACGGTCTGAGCTGAGAGAGATCAGAGGGCCCTTGAGTGCTGCAGGTCGAAGGGAATCCTAGAACGCTCATTGCTGCGTTTCTTGTTTGGATAGGGAGACGCGAGATGTTGAGGGGTTTCGCTGGATCGGACTCGCAGGCTCCCGGACTCAGCCTCCCACATGACCCGAAAGGACAACGCCATTGAGTGGATCGATATGGACCGATTCGCAGGGTTTGGGCCTGTGCGACAAATCGATGGGTTCTTTTGGTGCTGGGATGGGAGTCCGCAGTGACAAGAAGAGTGTAAACAAAGAGGACTGAGCGGAGGGGATGAGGTGTCATATATCAAATATGACCATCGCATGGTTGATCGATGGTCCAGGCACTTGCTGCGGGGCCCAACATCGTCTTCAAGGAATAGTGGGTAAAAGATCTCAGATTCTAGCAGGTTTCTCCACGAGGCGTTGTAAGTCATGATCGTCTTCAGAGACCTTTGTACTGGGCCTGAGGAGATTAAGACATGCATGGGTTGGAAACCGCTCCGACTCCGGTGCCCATACGAATGGGTCGATGAAGGAAACTGACGAGAAAGCGAGGAAACATATGGACCGAGCGAGCTCATGCGTAAGCTGCTGTGCAAGATGACTCAGGGCCGTCCGCTTGAACGAGAGTGAAGGTCTTGCAACGATCTTCAAGCACAATGGCCTTGCGAGCCCACAAGAGTCGGTACACAGCAATGTGGTGGTGTGCGATGTCATTTATAACGACGCAATGAAACGTTGTCGAGCTCTGTGCCCCCTCCATTGCCTCTCAACTTCGGCCATCTAGGGAACAGTAACAGATACTTGTGGCTTGCTGCATGTGGCAAGCTGGCTCGGGTGGATGGATGCCCGGCCACTGATGCTAAGAGTATGCAATGAATAACGGAGGCCTTGCCCCGTGACTCGCAGACTATTCATCGCCTTCGGCGCATGTGGCGTATGACAGGTCAACGATTGGGTTTTGTGAGACTTACAATGTGCATCAAAATACTGGCCCTTGGAGTAGCGATAGATGCGGATGTTGGGATTCAAACCGACGACTTCACCGCCCCTGACAAGATGAACCCTTGTTAGCAAGTCTCACAACAATCCCGCAACGAGAATGTCTAGACCCAGATGTGTTTCTTCTTCCGTATGGGTTTCATGTTTGTTGTAACTGTTTTGGATGTCTTCTGGTTGTGCGCAGACACTGGCGGATCTAGCCGGAAGCGCGTGGGATGCAATGCTCAGGGCAAGGGTCATGAGGGGGGCGGGGATGGCAAGGGAGTGAATCCAGCGCACTCACCACAAATCCTGAATATCTTCTTGACGCAGCAATTCGCGTAGCCCAGTTTCCGTCCAGAGACGCTGGGCAAAGGCAGCATCCTGCACTTGGAATCGGTCATTTACTCTGACCGCCTCTCCCCGCTTAGGCCGCCCGGGTGTGGTGATCAGTGGCAGACCCCTGAGGAAAGTGACATAGGAACTGCAAAGGGATTTCGGCCAAAAGTTGCGGACCAGGACGACTTTGTCAGGACAAGGGCCGAGCTTGTCGGGAGCTAGGTCTGCAACTGGCAGTGGTGGCTTGAACTGGGGCCAAGCGGGTGGTGAACTGGGGGTCGAAGGAGCGGTTGATTTTGTGTTACTGCCGTTAGTAGCCCCGGCGCCAGCTTTCGCCTTCGCAGCGTTGCTGCTCTTGGATTTGCCCATGATTTAGGGTTGTTGCTGTGCCGCACAGAATGGAACGTGGTTCGGGATGATGTGCAGCGAACCAAGTAGGACCTGGTGGCTTGTGGTTCCTGGCGGCTGTCTAGGACACAGCTGAGGCTCCCGCTAGCGTGTTGCAAAGCGGCGTGGCACACGGGAGGGGTAGGAGCCGGTGGGCTGGTCCCCCCGCGGGAAAGGATGAAGGAGGGATTGGTTGTGCGATGAGCAGCTGACTTGCGGCTGAAGATGGTCAAGTCGATTGTGCAGATCGCCCCTCCGCTCGTATGTTTTTTGTTGGACTCAAAGGAGACGCCGTCAGGGCCCTGGAGATTCCCACGTGAGAAACGCGGGCGTGGACCAGCTGAAATACAAATGCCAAAATCCGGATCGTGGTGTTTGAGCCGGCACAGCCTTTGGTCATGGCATTCAACCTCGGAGCAGATTGGCGGGTTTGGTGTGTGCGAGCAATCGCGAGTTTGTGGGCGGCAGAAACAGGAATGGAACGATGTGATGTCGCCCTGAGTGGTTGTTGAAGGATGGAAGTGGGCTCAAGTGACATGTTGCGTGCTCCATGCCTATTTGGCTGTACTGTACGTACATACTGTGCATACAGTGTAGCGCTAGCTGGCGTGTGCCGCCCTGGGAACCCGTGGCTTACCCGGCCGCAGCCGCTGATTTGAGATCACCGTTGGTCCACATACCAGTGGGGGTGTGCCTCCGGGGGCCCGGGGTCGCACCGCCGGGACCAGGGCTCGGCGAGGGGTCTACCTGTACTACAGTACCTACATATGACGCTAAACACTGGTCTCGCTCGATCTTAGAATCGGGGGTTCTCATTGACGTCTCCCTGGCCTTGTCCCTCCTTTCGTCATATCTCAGCAGCCAGCCTTCTCCTACTGTACATAGTACTTTTTCCATTATCAGAAAAATGACAGTTGACCAAGATTCTGTTTCCCCTCTTGATGTATCGTGGTCGGCGTCGATTTTCTTTGCTACGCATGATCCCGTGCAGCAGCGCGGCGTGCTTCTAGCAATTGCGACTCGGATTTACACCCATCCCTTTCCTCTCGTTCGGAATCCAGTCTGTGCACAGAACGCCGTCGGTTCGGTGCCATTATCGCATCGCAAGTTTGTGGAATCCGTGCACGACGCTGAGTCGTACAAGCCTGATGAGTAAGGCGCTCTGGATGGGGGTCAACATCAGCAAACTTTCGGCAAGGCGGTTGCTCCCGCTCCTAATCAAAAAAACCTGGAGCTGTTCCTAGAAAGGTGTCGTACAAAGACGTTTTCTATGCAAGGTTCCAACAATGCTTCGGTCGCTTGCTGTTAAACAGCGGTTGCTGGTGGGCACCGTTTTCGATCACAGGACACAGATCGCATTGTCCCTTTGAACCGATCTTGCACGATGCAACCAGATCGGTGACCCAGTATTGTGGTAAAGGCGATTGTGGCACCCAGGAAAACCCACGATAAGCTCGCGCCTGGGCGATCGCGGAGATTCCCACATGCGCTGCACGTTGAGACTCTTGGGCAGTTGGTAAATCCCTCAGCCGCGGGAAGTCCCCAGCAGAAAGGTTTCTTGTAGAGCGGCGTCATTTCAGCCGGCACGCCATTGCTATTGGGTGCTCACTCGTGACTATTGCCTTTCCTGGCTGAGGCACTAGATCGTGGGAAATGTGATATATGACCGGACCTGGACTCGCAAGTCTGGCAGGTCCCACCAGCTGCCAGCCTGCTGCTGAAGGGTCTCTGCGATCAGATCTCGTCGACCGCTTTGACACTGCAGAGTCGGATTCATCCTTGTTCGAAATATGGAAGATTTTCTGCTGTAAGTAGCCCCTCCCATGATGCAAGATTGTCGGAATCTGCCCCTGACAATGATGAAGACAATGACATTCTGACGGGATTGGGTTTGCTGTGAGACACTCCGGTCAAATTGGAACTCGTTTGTAGCCGTGGGCCAACACATGTCTTCCATCTAACCCGATTGTGGCTTGTTTGTCTCGCAACAACTCTCGAACCAAGTGCCTGACTGTCGGGACGGCACTCTCTTCAACCCAGGGTATGTCGAAAACAGGCAAGCCTGTCGCAGGCTCCATAAACGACCCCCGACGACCCTCCCCGCCAATGATTCTTTTTTTGCGGAGCGCGACATCTCAGTCTACGACTCACCCCAACATCACTTCTCACGAGGACGCTTGCGACAAACCTCACCCACTTCCCTGACCCTCCGTGAACCCGGCCAACCAAGTGACGGCACACGACGCTGACCCAGTATTTTGGTCGTTTTTCTAAGAATCTCGGAGCGCTTCGCGCACTGTTTGTTCCAACTCCTGCCAAGCTCTATTTGACAGCTTTGGCAAAGCTCGCTTCATTGTCTCGTCATCGTCACGCCAGCGGAGGTGGTACGGCAATTTGGATGTACGTGTATCTCACTGTCGTCTCGCTGTCTGAGCAGGGACCGCGAAACTGTCCAAGTGAATGGACGGTTGTGAGTCTTTTACAGTAACATTTGTCAGACAACCGATGCAGAAAACGCTTGAAATTAGCCGGGAGGGTATGACACGCGCAGCCATCAGCCAAAAGATTATCGTCAACAAGTGATAACGTTTGAACGTATGCCTGGATGAACCTGGCACACCTCACCCACGGCATCGCACACACTTTGTGGGGACCCGACGACATGGTGCGTCCAAGAACCGATAGAGCGTCAAAAAACTGTCAAGTACCATCGACGATCTAGCAATCAAGATCTCGGACAATCAATCGCTGCCGAGACAAGCATGTATTTTGTTCTGTTCGCAGTTGGTGGTGGGGTGCAGGCGCGCAAGTCATAAGTCGTGGAAGGAGCAGGTCCAAGAGGCGTCGATGGCGTGCAAGTGTATGTAACTGAAAACCGACGTCTGATCTGTCATTTTATTAGTCTAGCACATGTTTTTGTTGCTGTGATACTGAGTGGACTGGTGTATGACACGGCAGCACCAGGTAATTCGCCAGATGCAGCCATCAAGGCAGGTGGGTAGGCCCCGGGGAAGCCATCCGATCATCTGACTGGCATGTCATCTGCAGGTGATTTTGACTGATGGGAGCAGCCGTTGCAAGGTCGGCTGCCCAAGGCAAGGAGACAGATCGTATTCTGCGTTGTGGACGATGCTGATTGGGCATCGTGACCGGGGGCAGAGCGACATGTGCGATTGCTGACCAGGGCTTTAGTCCAGCCATTTAGCGCCAAGGAGGGAGCAGGATATTTGAGTTGACCGCCATCAAGTTCCGTGTCATCTGCAGTCATGACGACGGGTGGCTGTCGCGGATGCAATCAAGATTCCCGCCCTTGTTACTCTACTCTACCACTATGCTGTGGCTGGCTTAGCTGTCGTCGAGTTGCAGTTTCAGGGTGCCTGAAAGCGTATCTTCTGCAAGTTGTGTAGTGTCAACAGTGGGCCGACGTGCATTTCGTCCGTAGTCAACGGAATTAGCATCTCGCCAGCATACGCAGCACGAAATTGCCAGCCTTAAAAGGATATTGATACGAAGTTTTCATGAACAGAGAGATCTGGACTTGCAGTCATTAGGAGGTGCGTCACCACCGATGAGAGCGATTGGTGATGTTGTGGAAACAAAGTGAAGTAATGGAGAGGGCCGCTGAAACAAGACAAATGCTGAGCCTTTCCGTTCAGGTACCTAGGTTGGTCGGATAAGTCGGACAAATCTGGTAACCCCTTCGGCTGGGCTGGACAATGGTACCGTACCGATAGCTAATCCGTGATATGCACAAGCCAGAACGGCTATTCTGCTTTGCTGCATACTACGTAGCACGATCCACTCATTGCAAGGGTCCGAAAATTTTAGTGGCGGGAACTTCCTTTCCCCGACTTCCAATTCAGACGAGCTCCTCTCCTGTCCCGCCATAGCTCCGCTTTACCTCTTCCCAGCACGCAAACCTCAGCTGTTCAAGGGACCGCGACTCCATCGACTCCCGTCTTGATCAACTGACCGGCCGGTCCTTGCCGCTCTGACCTTGTAAGCCTTCCCGCGAAAGCCACAGTGGATGCGCTGTCTGACATTTGGGTGCAATCTAGGGGGAAGATTCGATGCTCGCGCAACGCTCGCCAACAGCCATGGCTTCCGACAACGAGTCGTCAGACTCTCGACCGACGAGATCGCCGCTTCAGCCAACATCCTCCGTTTTTCAGACCAGAGCCACGAAACAACTGGGCCTGTTCTTCGCCGGCGCCGGCTTTTTTCTCTTCTCGGCTATGATCACGCGACGCTCCGTAGTACGCAAACAACTCGCCGCCTTTCCCAAATTCTACCAGCCCAGTCACTATGCGGCAGGGAAGCAAGGGAATCCCGAAGGAGGCATGATTGCCTTTGAGGCCTTGAACCTGGCGACACTCAATGTCTTCAGCTTTGCCATAATGATGACTGGAGGAGCGGCATGGGCATTCGATGTGTCTTCGGTCGACGATCTGAGAGACATGGCACGAAGAAGCATTCGCGGAGCAGCTGGCCAGACGGATGAGGCCGCTGAGCGAGAATTCGAAGAATGGGCTGCCAAAGTTTTGACCAAGTTCGGCAAGATGCCCGCTGAGGACGAAGCACAGAACAAGGACAACAGTGCGGCCGACTCCAAGACAGACAAGTAGGGACAGTGAGGTGGCAACAATCATCTAGACCAAAATACATCTTTGTCGCGGGTATAGACGATTTCTGGGCACGCCTCAACACGGACGTTGCCACATTGTCTATAATGCGACAACCTGTACAAAATTTGATAAGGCGCAGACCGCCATTAAGACACCTCACCATGAACCGACTCAACAAATAGCATGACCTGGCGCAGTTTTCGTCACGCCTTGCCGTCTAGCAAGATTATTGGCCTTCTAGAGGAAGCGAGACCGGAGTGGCCAGTATGGAAATGAAGAAGCCACAAGAATGGCTATGCTGGTATCGGTTTCAGCCCAGTGCGGCGATTTGGCCATCTACTTGAGCCCTCCCGCCCTGCCTCGGTAGAGCATTCGGGTTCTGCATCGCGACGGTCCTAGCGCCCTACGTCGATCTGTTGTGCTGTCTTACAGCTGCTTCGAGCCCCCCCCCCCCAAATTTGTGAGGCGCGCATACCCGATAACTTCATAAAAGAAAATTGAGCTTTAGACGCATGTTCCCCTCGTGATTCTGGCGGGGTCGCCGCTTGGCAGTTAGTGGTTGAGGAGCGTTCGGCTATTCCACGCCCGCGCCGTCAGGATTGCGGTCCGGCATGGTCAACAGCCAATGGCATGTCTTGCCCTATCAGTTCTCAGAATTTTATTTCATGTTCATAACTTTTCTTTTGAAACGAGTCTCTGTCTGCAACCGAACAAGTGCTTTGTGAGCTGTCACGAAGACTTTCTCACCACCCGGGACGGTGTCAATGGCGCCAAATAAGTAGGAGCGGTTGACGCAGATGACGCTCATTCCTCTCCCGAGACGTTTGACTTGGAGCTCTTTCTTATGTCGACCACCGTCGATGATCTAGGAGGCCAACGACAAGATGATACGAGCTGGCTGAAAAGCCACGCTCCAGTGCAATGGGGCCGGGTGTGCAGCAGTGAGGCACTGGTAGACTAGATTCGGAGTGAACGACTTCACTTTGGATGGAGAAAGGGTCCGAGACAACCCGTGGCCTTGCAACACCCCGGTCGTCCCGACTTGCCCCGTCATCATCCCTGATCTCCTGTCGACAAGGATTTAGTACCTTACGGCCCTAGGTACCTAGCAGATCTTCTTTTAGTCCCTTCTGGATTTTTGACCATCCACGCCCACCCCCCCTGTCTCCTACGGACGCAAGAGCTGGGAGGGTGCGAACAAGGATTGCATACAATTTCATACAAACGGAAATGCAAAGAGGCTTCCGCTGCAGCTATACTCCATGATCCATGCTCTGGGTATCGGACCCGAATCGACGCCAAGTCGCATTGGCTCTATGAAGCCCACCAAGCGGTAGGAGTTCACAATTCTCTCTTGTTTCGATTTATCTTATAAACTTCATCACCTCCTCGTCAATCCCACTTGCCACTACCCTCACTTATTTCTTCAACCACTGAATACTGCTTCGACCTTCTGGCGCCATCTTCCTCGAAAGACCTCCTATCTTCAATTCAAATATACGTTTGCCTCGACACAGCCTCCGTCATCGACTCTTGTCAAGCAATGTACCAGGTCAAAAGTCAACTTGACTCTTGGTGGTGCTAATTCTTGTGGCTCGCGGCTCAACCATTATCAACAATTCCTCATATCAACACCAAGGACATAATCTGACAAGAAAGACAATCGAAAACACAATGTCCATGGAGTCAATCAGCCATACCTTCATGAGTGGCGACCCGATGAACACCAACATGCAGCCAGCTCACGGTACGCTCCGTCATGATGGACAATCTTTGGACGGCCGGGAGTACCAACGTGGAGACCCGGTAGCAATCGTGGACGATGGTGCGAGAGAGAGTCTCGCAGATGCGATTCAGATCCTTAACCTCAGGAACAATGAGTACATGCTCGTGTTGTTGAAAGCTGTGTGCTGGGTTCCCACTCATACCGAGCAACGGTCCGGCACCACCTTTCTGCTCACCCTATACGGACCCAATCTAGACTTCAGTCACTCAAACTCCGAGCGTCCTCAGATGGGTTATCGCGGCATTGCAACTCTTTTTGGATCCTGCGTCTACGTTGGACGCGAGGTCATGCTGGAAGGCAACCTTTCAAGGGTCAACTTGGACCCTGCAAACCGAGTTTCTTTGTTTACCGCCCAGTGGGATGCGATTTCCGTTCACTCGGAGTTGCAACAACCAGCATTGACTCCCTCTGCTTCGTCCTGTGCTTCATCAAGAAGCCCTTCCGAATCCGGAGATGACGCTCCGCCTCCACGATTCTATCGTCTCCAAGGACGAAGGGACTCTGCCATTGAAATTCGAGACCCCGAATCCCCGATATACAAGTCATCCAACGGACGAAAGGTAAGCTCGTTGCAGAATAGTGGCTCTGGATATCCGAAAGTCTAGCTAACAGTTTGTGAATAGTCGATCTCGCCTAAGCCCCTCTTCACACACACGGCATCCTTTGCGACAAAATACAACATCCCCATTGCCGCGGAAACGCCTTCACCCAAACGTGGATACTATGAAACTAATACGCCTGCATGGTCAGACCTCGGATCTGATGATGACTTCAGCTTCGACGCTGATGCAGCGTTCAATTTTGACCCCGCATTTCCCGACAGCCTTGATCTATGCATCAATGAGCCTCACTTTGGCAACTTGATGGCAGATAGTGACTTGCAAGTCAATTTTGTTTTTATGCCACAAAACGAAGGCGACAACTTTGCTTCTGGGCATCCCGAACAGCAACGGTCGGAAGGCAACGCTCAAGAGCCACTGTGGTCCACGCATGGCATTCCAGCAGGTCATGAGAATGCTTGGGATTCTCTGCAGGTGCCGCCGCAACATGCGTCGGAGATGAGGCAGCAACAACCCCCGACGCCTCAGCGCCAGCAGCAGCTGCCTACGAGGCAGGGACCTCATGCGGACTACTACGAGCCGTATCGACTTGCTGAGAATCAAGCCAGCTCTCACATACACCCTGGGGCTGCGGCACACCACCCTACGCAGACGGAAGTCGCCCATATGCCTAACGACCCCCGCGCGGGTTATGCGCCATCTCAACTACCCCCCGCGACTGCTCAACCTATGCAAGGTTTCCAGATGCAGTCCCGGTATCCGGAGCAGTCTAGCCGAGTGCCAGCTTCGGGTCCCCCAACCAGCTCCTTTCCTACTCTCCAGGAGGTTCACATTATCCAGAGCAACCGCCAAGACCCTCGCCAACCTCATTCCCTGGCATCCAGCTCTTACAGCCCGGTGCATGAGGGAGCCTTGCCTTCGTCTTCACATAGTCAACAGCTAAGGCGCAGCCCGCTGCCTGAGGAGTCACGGGCGCCTAGCTCCCGAGGCACGCCGGTCATGGCTCGCCGGGCACCAGCACAGCCTGTTCATACGTTCTCGCCAGCTGGTTTGGTCGACTCCTTCCGCCAGAGCACACAGGCGCACATCAGCACATTGGAAAGCCACTACGAGCAGCTGCAACAGAACCCAACTGGTGATGACCAGCTTCGCCAAGCTAGTGAGGCATTGCAAGCTGTTCGCCAAACTACAGACGATTCTTTGCAGCTCCTCAACCTGCTCCAACCGATCACCGGAATTCCTCTGAAAGGCACAGAGAAGAGACTCCAGTCTCTCGCTGATCAGATAGTTGAAGCGATGAAGGAATTACTTCCAAACGCTTCAGACGCTTCCGAGCAGAGTGTTCAGAAAATGGGCCTGAAGGTGCAGAACCTCAAGGACTTCATTGAGTACGTTGAGGGTGTTCATCCCGAAGTCGTCAAACGCCTGCAAGATCCCGCCGCTGCCATTGCTACGAGCGACAAGAGTAAGAACGTCTCAAGCACTGCCGCAGGCCTAGTTCCCTCGGCCCCTCCCTCAGTCTCTTCACAAGCCGCAGACGAGTCTGACTCTTGCCGCTGGGTTGATGGCCAGGCCACTCCGCCACCAGACCGTTCATCCGCAATGGCACAAAACCGAGACCGCTCGCGCATGTTCCGCGATATGACTAATGCTCATGGTCGTCGTACGGAGCCCCGCATCAACTCTGGTGCGGATTTTTACCCTCCAACAAGCTACAGTCAGCCCGCATCTCGGATTCACTCGCCAATGGCCAGTCACGCTGCACCGGCTGAGCCTCAGCACCCCACCGGGCACGGTTTCTTCCAACAGTCTCTTCCAACTCCTCTCCAGCAGACGATGCAGATGCCGGACTTTGGCGCATCGATGCATTCTCGACCGATGCAAGCTTACCCGCCCCCGAGTTCGGTGGAGATGATGCGGCCGATGCAGCCTATTCCGAGTATGCCCCCTCAGCAACATTACACCACACAGCAAGAGACCTCTTTCTATCTGCGACCGAACCCACCCAACAGCCTCTACCCCGCGAGCGGAGCGGAGATATCACAGGCGGCTTACGCCCCGCGGTCGCCGCTTTCTTTCCAGTCGGGATCGACCGCGGCTCATCCTGAGTACTATCAAGACGTCAGGTCCACTCTTCCGGACCGACGGACTGTCCGCCAAGAGCGTCCTGCCCCTTACTCTTTGAACTACAGAGACCAGAGACGACGTAGGGGAAGCCAATGATGGCCACTTCTCGTCTCTCATGTGAATATGAACAGATGGTTCTTTTCCTTACATCGACTGCGCCAAATTTGTTCAGCATCTTTTTGTTTTGGCTTCAAGCTAGCGAGTATCTGATATCCTCCTGCATCTTTCTTGGCGAGGCGTTTTCTGAGCGGGAAAAATGGGCTATCCTTGACCCTTTCTTTCTCTTTTTCCTCAAATCTTTTGGGCTGCTGGACTTTACGTAGGAGTTTGTCCTCCCGCGTTTATCGGCCCCCTAATTTCTAACTCTTAAAAACACTGTTGGGAGGCTTTTGTGTTTTTTTCCTCGATTGGTGTATGGGAGTATATAGCAATTCCGGAAACGAACAGACGACAGTACGCTGGGTACATGGCAACCACGTCTACCAGCGAAGGGGGAAAATACGTATGATATGATGACTCTCTTCGGCCTCAGCGGCCTTTGTGGTTGGGGTGGTGTCTTTGTTCTGGGCGTGATTGGGATGGCTACCAAAAAAAAGGAGTTACAACGTTTGGCTTTAGCATGAATCAAGAGATTGACTATCAACTCGTCTACTTCGTGAATGTCATTGTTGAAGATGCCTTACGCGGGACTCACCGGTCAGCCGCAATTGTGTTGACGGGACCGGAGACCGAAGTATCGCACGGACCCCGGACTGTCCCACTCAATGTCTTATGCCCCTCCCCCGCCGCGGGAAAGCCGGGATCTGCCCGGCACTACCATTACCCACAAGTCAACTGACGCAAACTAGCGACCCGAATCGGTATGTGCTCCGCTGCCGAGCCCTGACTACGACCGACGTCTGAGGTCCCGCCTGCTGTCGTTTCGCAGTTCGGGAGAAAAGGGGGAAACTCCCATCGCTACCAGTCTTCTGCTTTTGCCCATGGAAGAGAAGAGGCCTGGTTGGGTTTTCCGTTCATGCCTCGGTAAATGGTCGAGTTCTTGGTAAAGTCTCAGCCAGCGGTGTGTTCATGCAACACCTCGATCGGCCCTGACGATCGGTGGAGTCCCTTGTTTCTGTTGGCGAGTCCTAACCAGGCGTGCTTTGTGGTGCCAACTCAACTGATTGCCGTTTCACCGCCGGGTATTCATGGAGTCTTTGTTCTGCCTGGCTTGCCCCCCCCCCCCCCCCCCCCCAAATGAGTGGAGGAGAGCCTTGAATGCGAAGCGTGCTCCGCTTCTCTCCGGCAGGGTGAGACGTAGGTTGTACGCCGAGCCATCGGCGATGACTTCCTATGTCGGGACGGTGCCGACTCTGGAAAACTATATAAGGACAAAGGGAGGCTGTATGATTGAGTGTATTGGCAACATAGCGCACATTTCACAGTCTTTCAATCGGTCAATTTACATTCTACTCGTCGCCGGCACGGATTCTGAAAACAGACAATCGCAAACATGCCCATCACCAGAGTCGGACTCATCGCTCTCGCCGACGGCGCCAAGCAGGACGAGGCGGTCACGAGGTTCAGCAACTTTGCCACTGACTGCAAGAAAGTAAGCCAAACAAGTGACTTGCCAAGACGGCAACTGCAGAAGCTGATGCTCTTATGACCAAAGGAAGACGGACAGACGTACATCGTCGCTTCGAAAGCGAGCAAGTGCAAAGTCCTGACCGATGTGCCGGGTTCGCAGCCTTGGAGTGTGGTTTACGAGATCACATTTGCAAACGAGGCGTAAGTATCATCCTGTGCCAAAATCTCGAGTCGGCTTGGATGCTTGTGCGTGTATGTATGCAGATGACTGATAACTCGATGCAGGGATATGGAGTACTACCAGACCAAGGACCCCATTTACCAGGAGCTGATGAAACAGGCGGCTGAGGGAAAGGCTACAGGCTTCATCGCGGTATCGGCAGAGTTTTAGAGGCTAGTATACGTAGCATTTTGATATATTCGAGCAACACTTCCCATGCCCTGTTTCTTACCTCGTTGTTGTCTAGACCGAGGAAAAATGCGCAAGGTTTCGTATCGCGGAATGAGTTCAAGCCGTTGCTGATAGGTCAACATTGTAAGAACTCATGAATCTGTCTTGTACTGCCAATGGAGTTGGCAATGCCCAACAGATTCCTGAATCAAAGCTCAACAAAGAAGCACCATGTCATGAGGCCAGCATAGAAATTAGGGAGCAACAGCTGCAAGGCTTTATTAGGAACTGTTATCACAAGAGCAGGTCCTGTATGTAGGGTCCCGAGCCTATAAGGACCAGTGTAATACCGAGGGCCCTTACATAAAGACCTCCTTACTTCCAGGAACAAGTAGGTCAGAGATGAGGAGTCCCTTTCTCATACATACCTTTGAATTGACTTTTCAACTCTATCACAATACTTGATACACCAGCACTAGAGCCCATCCGCCCGAACATAGGCCCGATGGATTCTTGGATTTCTTCTAATGTTACTTAAGATGCTCCAGCCCCCAAACGTATTGTCCTAGTCAAGCAATACGCGCAGCGAGCGGCTTCAAAATGTCTAGATCTCTAACATTCGACTAGTCCTTCACTGTCAACAACTTTTAGGGTAACAGAGTTTCGCACACTACTTCTAAGAAACTGTTCTATAAACTACTATAATAGCATGCGGTTCAACCAATCACCTGGTGGAGATCTTTCGAGACAAGCCGAAGTAATGCCAACATATTGAAGGATAACCGTTCATACAACTCCGCCTTAATACCTGTCTTTTAATTACACTGCGATATCCAAGCGTGTATCCGGGCTAGTGAGAAAGTACGTCGTTTAAGGTCAAGTGTGCTAATATTCTTTTTAGCATCATAAGTTGATATGCCAAGCTTTGACATAATGTTGTGATTCGTCCTTGCCTCCTGTGAGTATAATTCATGCTTTCCAAGACAGCAAGCCAACTTATTGAATAAAAAAGTGCAAGCCATGTCTGCATTTTATATCTTCTTCGAACATTTGTATATACTGAGAAGGATATTGGCGGCTGCATACTTCTTGAAAGTGCATCAGTGGGGTTGGCTGCAAAGAGTCTAACGACAAGTTCTCAACCACTAGTGCCTCTTTGGTGTTCAATATATATAGTTCCTGTCATTACACTCATCCATCGCCTTTATAGCTTACACGTTACCTACATGTAAGAAGATGATAGCTCAGTGATAGTAAATCTATTTGGTTGCGTTCTGCGATGCCAAGCTCGTGAACTGCATCGGCACGACAACACAAGCGCCATCGGCGAAGGAGATGGTGAAATTGCAAGTTCGTCGATGAACGGAGACGCTGTTCATATTGACTGGCCGTCAAAGAGCACATCGGATCGACCGTGACACCAGGAAGCTGTCTCTGAAGACAGGTCTCCGAGAATCCTGTCAACGGAACCAGTAGGCATCATATAGATCTGTGCATCTCTAAAGGTTCAAAAGTTAGGGTTGAGAGGCTCTTCTGAGAGATTCGTGATGGATGGAAAGCCAATGATTAAGTCACCGCAACCGGCTGTTGCTTCGGAGTTGTTTGATTCATGGAACTCATCTCGGAGATTCGAGGTCCTGCATCACGGTTGCTAACACCGAGATTATGAAGTACAACTACGATAACTATATGAGAAGTATTTTGAAATAACTTGAAATTATTGGGACTGTTGGTCCCAGGTAAAGGAGAATGCATAGAGGCTTGTTTCGCTTGGTAAAACAGAGGCTCTTTCGTCGCCATCGTGAAGTGTAAGATTGAGCATCAGCAGGCCGTCTTCTGATAAAGTTTTTGCCTCTTCATGCTGAGATGTTTAATTCCAACAACTCATTCGAAGATGCGATGTTTTGACCCAGTTGAGCATGAACAGGAGCCTTGAACAACTCTGATATGCTGCAACACGACTCCAGATCATGATCAAGGACATTTTGTACTGTGGGGGATTGGATTTGTAAGGTCTGGGGAGAACATTGTGCGTTCTGGCGACAATTCCAATGGTTAATTTGAAAGACTGGGCAAGTCCATGACAATACCAGCTCGTAGCATTATAGACTTTGCAACAAGTGCTAACCAAGCCCGGACCTCGAACTTCTATATCAAGACCGTTGTATTTGAAGAGAGACAATCGATCTTGAACTTATATGATACTAAACACGGTACGTCTATGCCTGAGTCCTCAGTGCCTTTGCTCTTCATAATAGGCAACTACTTAACTAACGCTGTCAGTGATGTAGGGTGGTCTGCAGGCATTGATCATTCCAAGTGTTCCGGTCTATATTTCCAATATTACATGTATTGTATCACTGGCCCTGAAGTTATTCACATGGCACCATTCAAAATGGAAGGCCCAGAAAACCGAACAGCTCTATGGCCTGTATTCGCAAACACTTGACGGAGACCCGGCAGCTTCGTTCGCCTGTGTTACCAGCGTTCTCTTCTCCAGGTCCGTCCGCCCCTTTAGTAATGGCTCATATTCATAACCTTGCTGTCAAGGAGTCTGAATAAAACCTAAAGTTAAAGAGCTTGGTCAAAAGACTACAAGACAAGCTCAGAACACCCATGAGGAATCCCCACAAACAAGGCGGATCTACACCCGGATACAAGCTATACTCGCATCCTGAGTCTTCGCTTCAGCATGGACTCAGAGGACTGGACCCTTGAAAGCACAAGTATATGGAAGGTACAGTGACATGATATTTCCCGAACAGTCACGGTTACATTGCCGAAACCGAGAGCGCCTCGGCCTCTGGTCATGCCGTGTAGTCATATTCACAACTCACCCGCCACGGCGGCTAAAGCCCGGTGCCGCATTAAACTGACTTTGAAGAGGAGGTTTAGCGCTGGGGACGAGGAAACGACAACGGTACCGAATTCAGGGTCTCTGTCAGTGTGGCAGCAGCGGCCCCGGGGAGGGTGGGTGATTCGGGTAGCAGGTTTCCGTGTAAAACCCGGTTAACCAAGGGCTCTGGTTCCGTACGCTCGGTGTTTTGTGAAAACCGGCCGAATGACTCGGCGTACGACGTAGGCTACATGCCTAGTAATCGAAAAAGGGGTAACGTTGACTTCAAACTGCTCTGTGCTCTCTTTCCCTCGAGAAGTTGGCCCTGCGATCAACGACGGAGCTAAGAACTACCCAGTAGATCATTCCAACCTCCATCGAGGCTTTTGAGATGGAGACGGCGATTGAGCAAACCTGGTTTGTAATGTGCCCGGATATGCTAGTCTCTGCAATCTACAGTGGACAGACGCGATTGACACGTACAAGCGTACGGGCATACTGTCGTGCTCGCAGTGGTCTGGTGGGCGTGTCCGGTATAGTAATCATGCCAGCGTCTGAGGTGACAAATCCTGCTTGAGTAATCTGCTGCTGGTTGATTAGTCGTCCTCGCTCGGACGAACCTCAACTTCCAGTAATCGCTGGTAAGCATTCGAACCACACGTTGCGACCTGGAGCAGCAATGCAGGCAGAACCCTACACTTCAACAATTCCGCCAACCAGTCGCTGGGCTTCTATCTTCTTGAGATCCCGCGGCCTCCTTTTGGGCTTCCCGCGGGCCGTCAGGCCCGCCACTGTGTTCAGTTTAACTAGCATATACCCAGACCCGAAGCTCCGCACCAAGCGCGGAGAGGGAGCCGAGATCTAGACCAAGAGTTCCAAAAGTGCGGTCTTCGCGTCCCGAATCCCGATTCGCCCAGGGATGGGGCAGGTGGGAAAAATGCCCGAAAAAACAACGTCTATTCTAATCTTCTACGCACCACCACAAACCATGTTCCCAAACGCAGACGAACATCGTTGTCACACTCCGCGCTTGGGACTGGATTCATCCCGGCAGCACGTCGTATAAAACGGTGTGCCGGTTAACCCTAATTCTTCCTCGCCCACTGCCAGCGCGTGCCGTGGTGCCAGAGACGGCGCTGCGATCGTTCAAGCGGCCGGGGTGACCATAACTCCGCGTTCACTTCTCCTGATGTCCCTTGCCAAGAATGGATGAACTCCGACTCGCGCGCGCGCTCTTTTTTCATACATACACTGACAATAGACTTTTGCCCTCCCTATCCCTAGCTATCCCAGTCGGGCACAGTCCGCCAACTTTACGCAAGGAAAGTAGGTCAGGTCCTTTATCTGAAGGTCACCGAACATGATCTGCGACAGCCTCCTCGTCTGAAGTTCCCCCTTGCGGAGGTGAGGCTATCGACATTGGCCTGGGCATTCGAAATGAGTCAATAAGACTTTGGAGACGTCAACGGAGAAGTAGTTCGAGATCCCCACCCCCCAGTTCGAGCTTCTCTGTGATTAGATGGGCGGTGGAGGTCGTCTCCGAGTCCCGCTTTAGACTCCAAGTCCTCGTACTCAAGGTTTTCGTGGGCAAATTAGCTTTAGGATAGACAACGATGCGGAGCACTGGCAAGCATCATCTCTGAGCAGATTGAACATGTCGGCGTACCCCGTAGGGCTGTGAAGAGACTGACGCCACCAATGATGTGAATCTGTCGTGAGATTCGAGGCGGTGGTTTCAGGTGGGGTCCTGGCTGCTGACGTTGGATTGAACGAGGGCTCCTTTCCGTTTGGTCAACTAGTCAGAGTCAAGACAGAGACGTTCAACGCCAACGGCTAGTTGATTGTAAGACGCAGTGAGTCGGAGACTCCACCACATAGGCTACTATCTATGCACGTAAGTCAATGAAACTCGGACAGGACATCCGCATTAGCACCCTTTCATTTCTTTGCCCGTAAGCTGACGGGCTTTGATTGTGGCATGCTTCTCCACCTCGCATTCTCTGACAGCCTAATAAATCGTAACTCTGTGCAGCTTAAAATGGGTCTGGATGGGTTAAGGTGCTTATGGTTGCGAATGACGGCTTTTAGCGTAACCCGAACGACTGGCACTGAGTTCGCCAACGCGACATAAGATTTTGCCTGATGCCTGTAGACTGGTACATAG